GGGCTATCTGCCTAAGCACCCCAGCCCTTTTTTTCTGTATTGTATTTTGTTTTGTGACAGGGTCTCATTTACCCCAGCTCGCCTTGAATACACTATAGTCTGGATAACATTCTACTCATTTGTAAATCAGATAATAAAAATTCTAAGAGACTAGTGGAAACTAAGAGGTTTTCAATATACAATTCTGCAAAAAGGGACTCCAGCACAGAGAAAAGGCATAAATGACCAAGTTGGGGCTGGGAATTGGTGGCACACGCCTTTAATCCCAGCACCCAGGAGGCAGAGACAGGCAGATCTCTGTGAGTTGGGAGGACAGCCTGGTCTACAAGAGTGAGTTCCAGGACAGCCTTCAAAGCCACAGAGATACCCTGTCTCGAAACATAAAATAAATGGCCAAGGTGCTGATTTGGCACCAGACAGTGGTTTTTGAAAAACATATTGAGAGATATTCCTGTTCTCTCCTTTAGGCTTGTAGGACTTGAATCCTCTTAATTCCCTATATCATTTTCCTAGGACAAAATCCTCATCTAATAAATAATTTGGGACTTGAATCTGGCCCCTTCTGGGTGCCAGATTCCCTAAACTGAACCAGCTAAATTAATGAGCACAGCACTTATAACTTTCTGAAACAAAGAAGGCCTAGTGACTAGCTAGGGAAGAGGGTCTAGGAACAGCCTGCTTGTCTGTCACTGAGATCCAGGCATGGATCAACAGCAAGAGGTTTATTAAACTAGCGCACTGGGGTCCAGACTCAAGCTCACGCAGGAGTCAAAGAGTCAGACCCCAAACAAAGGTCTAAGGGCTTCTTAAAGGCCAAAACCACAACCAGATCGGGCCAGGGGAATGTGGGAAATGGAAGGGTAAACAGTTCTGATTAGCTGGTTCCAGGTGGCCGACCATAATCTCGGGGCCCATGGGATCATGGAATGTTCAGGGTGGTGACTTCCCTGTTTGTGGGCAAAACAGTTACCAACAATAGAGATTTAATGACTCAGCAGTTCATTCCAGAAAAAGTCACAAGTTCTGGTATTTTAGCTCAGGGTCCTTCATCCCCCCATTTTCTTTTGGGAAATTTCAATCATGGGATTCTGGTTTCTTCTGATTTGTGTTAGACCCCTGGAAAGCTCAGGGCTCCAGGATCTCAGCCCAGGACCTCGGTCACCCCAATCACCAGGTGGTATCGAAAGCTTGATGCAAACTGCATGAGGCTTTATTGTTTAACGAGCTAACCCCATGTTAGCTCTGGTCTTTCACCCACCCGCCATGGCAGATGGCTAGCAAAGACAGCTGGAACCAGCTGCAGAGAGATCTTGTAGGGCAGCATAAGGGGAGTGTCTAGGGGTATGCACAGGCTCAGGATTGGTGTGCCTCCAGGCATGGAGGGTTTGCCCTGTGTTCATTAGTCAACTGGTTGTTATGGCCCATAGGCCCTCCCAGGGTGGTTGCTATGCTCTGTGTGTCATTGCTGTGCACTTGTCTGTAAAGCACACCCAGAGCCGTAAAGCATAGCACCACCAGCTAACTTCTGATTGGTTCCTTGCCACGAGGCAGGCATCTGACTTTTTAGTGACTAGGACAAGGTCATGGCAAGCATGTGTTACTGTCATGGCTGCCGAAATGGGGAGCTGGTCCCTTCATTCCCTCATTTTTTTTTTTTTTAGAAATTCCAATCATGGAATTGCTGTCTCTCTAGCGCCCCCCCCCCTCAAGGAGGCCCCCTCAAGGAGTGAGAGATATTGGCATCCCCACGCAAGGGAGTTCCTTCTGACTTAGCATTTTAACCAGGGAAAATGGGCGGCATATTCTTTCCCATGCTACTTCCTGCTGACTTTGGGATGAAGTTAGGGACCCAGAAGGTTGAAATGCTAGTCAGAAGCAAAAAAAAAAAAAAAGGAATTTAGGCAATAGGGAATCCATCAGGGGCTGTTGGCAGACTCTGTTGCAGAGACAGGGGGTGTCTACATCAGCTGGACTGGTTCACATCCACAGCAAGTCCAGGGCTTGCAGTCTACTTAGAACAGCCTGCAGTCAGCAACTGATATACTCAGATGTGTCTGCCAGAAGCAGAAACCTGTTTAAGACATGTGTAAACTAGGAACAGAAGTTAAAACTTATATACTGAAGCCCACAGTGCAGAAAAAGCAGATATCTGGACATCTGTTCAAACAGCAGGAACATATTTATAACTTTGAGTCCTAGCAAATGCTGGATCTGAGTGTCTGATGCTGTCAAGCTGACAACCACTAATATTTCAGAGATCTGAGAAGGGTATATTTTATCCAAATCTACTAAAAAGTGACAGAAACCAGTAAGAAGCCAGTCCATAAACAGTTAGCCACATCCAAGTCTCTCCATTACCAATGGAGGCAGATGTCTCAAAGAACAGCAATCTTCACCAGGCCTACAAGGTGAGAGGGACATGGAAAAGACTGACCTTGTTTTGTTTAGGCAAAGTGGGTGCAATCAATTTTCCAGTGTCCAGCAGCTTTGTCCACAGTCTCTGCCAGGTCCTGGCAGGCAGCAGGTATCACATTTGAGCATTTCGCTCACTGGTCCAGGTGCAGGAACTGGGGTGCCTCATAATCTTCTTTGGAGACTTTGGGTCACTGTCAGGATCTGGCAGTCTTGAAAGGTTCAGGCTTTGACGCTCATCGGATTTACCTCTTTAAGAGACAGACCCCTCCCCCTGACAATACTCAGGGCATGCGCAAGAAAACATGCTATGTCATCGCCACGTCACTTGTCACCCCTGTTGACTCTGGACATGCATGGAACATCAGTGCACATGCACAGTCTTCCCTTTAAAAGCTCCGACTTCTCTCTCTGCTTTTCTCTACTCTCTACTTTCTCTGTTTCTTCTTGGCTCTCTCTCTGCCTCTATGGCGTCCGGCCATGTCGGTCAGCCATTACCTCTGTTCCTCTTCTCTCTTAGTCTCCCTACTCTGCTGGGCCATATAATAAACTAGTCAAATGTCTCATTTTAAAGCTTTCTCTTTTCCTTTTTTTAAATAAAAACATAACATTGGCCCCTGACTTGGTTTAGGTTCTCTCCGTAAACTCTTTCGATGCTTGCTGGTGGGATAGGCTTTCTCTCTAACCTCTCCTGCCAGGGGCATAGGAAATTTCAGGGATCCTAAAATCTGAACTCATAACCCATTTCCATCTCAGCTTTTCCTGGCACTTCCTCCTGCCTGCAGCAGCCTGAGATGCCGGAATTCTGTACACTTCTTCAACTCACCGCCTTTCCAACTATGGATCTCTGGAACTCACTCATCTGCCTGTTCGCTGCAATCCGGTAAGATATCCCTTTTCCCATGGGGCAGACCCAGCACTCCATTTTGGAGTTCACTGCCTTTTGGTCTACTGGGTACATTTTTTCGGTTTCGGACTGCTGAGCCTCTTTCCAGCTTTCTGCCAGGTGCTCTCAGACAGAGCAATCTGTGCCATTTTTTGCCTTGCCCACCAGAAATACATTTTACGGGATCTTTCAGTTACTGACAGCGAGTAGATAAATGTGTGGAGTTCTGCCTCCCAGTGGGAACTTTCTCTCACCTGGGAATGTCCCTTATTTTCTGTTCTATCTCTGACCGTGTTTCTTCTTGGTTGGCAATGTCTGCTTGAGACACTCTGAGAGTTTTTTGTTTGTTTGCTGGTTTTCATTTTTCCACACGAATGAGGTTTGACTCATGGAGGAAAACTTCTTCCAGCAATTGAGAATGTGCTTACGGGGGCAGACATGTGGGCTAACCTGGGGGCCGCCATCTTGGTCATGTGCCATCCTAACCGCGTGACCTAGCTTAGGCCTGCCCACTCAGTTCAATGACTTGCACAGGCAATTACTGCCACCAGACATCTTGCTTTTTATTTCTTCTTTCACTTGTTGGGTGCATTTCCTGAGGGTCAGGCATGGGATCCCGCTACAAGAGCGCTGCTTTTTTGCTTTTTTCAGTTCGGACCTCTGGGTCCTTTATCGGCTTCGGGACAGCTGTGTCCCCTTCGGGGCCAGGCCCCTGGCAAGCTTTTTGCCGGTTTTCCACTTGCCTCACCCATGGGAAATGCATAGAGGAACCTTTCTGGTTGCAGCCAACAAGCAGATAAACAGACAAAAGCGGCTTAGGTCGCTGCCATCTTGGTCATGTGACCCACCTGTAGGCATGCCCACTCCAGTGGCCTGTGCCCACAAACCTGTCTGCCGGATTTTTTATTTCTGCCAGATCTTTTTGCTTTTTATTTTATTTTTTTGTCTGTGATTTCTTCTTTCACTGGCTGTTGTTCATGGCTTGTTTACTAAATACTGTGTCTTTCCAGGGCCCTCTGTTTAAGTCTACTCTGTCCATTTAAATCTCCTGTCTGTTTGCTACAATGTATGGATCAGAGATTACATTCTGGTTCCCCCTTTTACTGTTATCCAGTCCTGCTTGTCTCTGTACCTGTAATTTAACTTTATACTTATCTAGCTCTATATGCAACTTAAATTAAACTGTGCTAAGTCTCATATTTCTAAATTGCTATGTATCTTTAAATGATGGTAAATATTTAAAGTCATAAAGGTCTAATTTAACTATACTTAAAATATAAGTTAAGTCTATACAACTTAAATTTAACTCATGTATGTTTAAATGATGATCAAAATTTAAAATCACAAAGGTCTATTTCAAATTAACAAAATATTTATACCAGTTTATCCTGTAAGCCGTTTACAAAGGTACAGCTTTTATTACAAAAAGGAATTTTTCTCTAACTAAAGGCAAACTTTTAACTGCTGAGATACTAAACAGACAGACAGCCCTCAAATGCTCAGAGATCTAGAGAACATGGCATTTAAAATATTTTGTTAAAAAGCTTTTTATAACAGAGAGATAGGCCAGCTGCTGGCCCCACCCCATTTCCTCCGAGAAGACTGATGGGCACTAAAGAAGCTTCATCTCGAGTCAGTGACAACGCTGGTCACTGAGCAACCCTGCCCTTCACCTCAACTGCTACAAAGTATTCCAGACCTTGGACAAGATGACAGTGGAATCGACTTTCCCCAGTTGCTTGGGCCAACAGTAGGCGAGTCTTCCTATAGTCTGTAATCCACAGGTCACATGCTATAAGCAAGAAGGCAGGTGTCCTGCAGCCCACTACTATGGATGGAGGACCTTGGGGGTGGCTGTCCATGCAGCCTGCTGGCAAGTCTCTGTTATTCTTTAATCATTGATTCAGGTAAAATCTTATCCTTCTCAAGAACTCTGATGCTTTTGACAACTGGTAGTCTGGCCAGCTTAAAGCAAAACAGATTCCAGGAACAAGTATTTTAGAGTTTTTCTATGTGAAGATAGGAAAATGTAAGATGCATGAAGGTCTGAGAATGTAGCCACCCCCAGCTGAGGCACGAACTCAGAAAGATGGGCCTCTCTATTTGTCTAAGGGATGGGAGGGGTTGGAGCTGTGGTGGGGCTGAGCAGTTCCTTTGTAAGGCCTGGGGATGTGAGAGCACTGGAAACACCTGGTGGAACCCCACATCAACTTGGGATGCCATCTCTGTGAATAGGGCTCATCCCTGGCAGGAAGAAGAGCCTGGGCTTACACAGTCCAGATTCGAGAGCACGGTTTCAGTTCCCCAATTTGGTGGGCTTGCTCCGTCCGTAGGGACAGGATCCTGGATAGGACAAGGGTTATGTATAAATTTCACATGTAATCCGCTTAACGTCACATTCACAGGCCCAGGAAAACAGTCAAGACAGGAATGGTTACGAGGACGCCAATGGAGAATCCGCCTCTATCGGGAAGGAGGCGACCCTGGGCTACTAATGACAATCAAGTTAAAAATAGAGGTACCGTCCCCAATATCCATAGGACCAAACCTGGTGATAGCAGGACCAAAAGAAACCTGTACTGAAAAGGGTCCAGGAACAGGTCACTATCACTTATTCAAATTCCCAGGCGCCATTCACCCTACAAAGACCCATCCCCACAGATTCAGAGCAAACACTGATTAAACTCCTATGGGGGGCATTTGAGGGTCTTAACGCCACTAATCCTAACCTGGCCGAGTCCTGCTGGCTATGCTTAAACTCAGTTCCCCCATACTACGGGGGATAGCTTTCATAGGGAACTTCAGTAGCACCACCTCCCCGGCTGCTTGTGTACAGGAGTCTGGGGGAAGTTAACCCTTACTGAAGTCTCGGGTACCGGGACCTGTGTGCGGCAGATAATGAAAGACCCTCGGACCGAGGAGTCTCCACAAATAGGACGGTCCCCCTCCAAAAAAACTCAATGTCCAGTCTAGCTGATGTAAAAACAGAAGTAAGTTTATTGGGGGACGTCTGCGCAAACGGGCCTCCCAGTCCGACAAAGGAAGCCCCGTTCCTCAAAAGCAGGCTTCTTTTGTAGGAGAAAACCATAGCCTTTTAGGGGTTTGGATACGTGACCAGTCACAGGTCCTTTGGAGGTCTCTTATCTTTGGGGCTGGATGGTCTCCTAAATAAGAGAGATAGTGTGTTCTTATCTTCATGACCCCAGGGCAGGGGGGCCCTCTGGGAATTCTTTGTATTTAGTTAGGTTGTCTTGAGGCCTTGTAAGGGAGTTATTGCTGCCGGCTAGGAAATTCCAGGGACTTGGGTCATTGTGACCTTGGTTAGATTTCTAAGTCAGGCCTCCCTGCTTTTAGTGTGGGAGGTTTTTCTAAGTCTCCTTATTTTATTTCTTTGTTAATTTTTAAGTCCTTCAATACCATCACATAAGCAACATCTCTACACTCTGACTTCAGGCTTGCCAATTCCTAAAGGCAATCTGTGTCTCCTGCCCCCTAATAATGGTTGGTGGATCTGTAACTCTGGACTTACCCCTGGCGGGATTATTGCATACTAATACACCTCCTACCCCGGGGTGATCTATCATGATGCCAAGTCATTTGAATATAAATTCAATCTCGTGCCCTGTTGAATTAGGAGAGAACCCGACACTCTGACACTAGCTGTCCTCATGGGACTGGGAATGGCGACAGGCATAGGAACGCACGGCAGCATTAATTAACAACCCATACCGAATAAATGGATTAAAACAGGCCATTACTGAGGATATTGAGAACTCTATCACCAAGCTTGAAGAGTCTTTAACATCCCTCTCTGAAGTAGTACTGCAGAACCAGAGAGGGATAGACCTGCTCTTTCTCAAGGACCGGGGCCTCTGTGTGGCATTAAAAGAAGAATGTTGTTTTTATGTGGACCACTCAGGGGTGATCAGAGACTCCGTGACTAAATTGAGGAAAAGGCTAGAGGAAAAACAGAAAGGGAGATAAGCCAACCAAAATTGGTTTGAAAGCTGGTATAGCAAATCCCCCTGGTTCACTACCTTGGTTTCTTCACTATTTGGCCCTATTATTATAATTTTATTACTTTTAACTTTTGGTCCCTGTGTTCTCAACCATTTAATGACTTTTATCAGAGAAAGGGTAAGCGTGGTCCAGGTACTAATGCTTCGCTAACAGTACTGGACTCTCCCTGGAGGCGAATGAAGAGACCAGCTCCCCATTTTGGCAGCCATGACAGTAACACGTGCTTGCCATGACCTTGTCCTAGTCACTAAAAAGTCAGATGCCGGCCTCGTGGCAAGGAGCCAATCAGAAGTTAGCTGATGGTGCTATGCTTTACGGCTCTGGGTGTACTTTATGGACAAGTGAACAGCAATGACACACAGAGCATAGCAACCACCCTGGGAGGGCCTATGGGCCATAACAACCAGTTGACCAATCTACACAGGGCAAGTCCTCCAAGCCTGGAGGCACACCAATCCTGAGCCTGTGCATCCCCCTAGACACGCCCCTTCCGCTGCCCTATAAGATCTCTATGTAGCCAGTTCGAGCTGTCTTTCTAGCCATCCGCCATGGCTGGTGGATGAAAGGCCCGAGCTAACATGGGGTTAGGTCGTTAAACAACTATAATAAAGCCTCGTGCAGTTTGCATCAAGCTTTCGATACCACCTGGTGATTGGGGTGACCGCGGTCCTGGGCTGAGATCCTGGAGGCCTGAGCTTCCGGGAGTCTTTCAGTGCCTCTTGGACTCTGGTATCCTATGGGTTCCACTATCTTTCTGCCTCAATCATGGGAAACAAGCCAACAAAATTATATCTGAAAACTTTATAGGACCTTTCTAACTTCTGCCAGTGGAGGGGAACCTGTTTGTGGCACTGCCATCTTGACTGAGGGCAACCATGCGGCCTAGCTGTAAGTCCTCCGACTCCATTGGTTACTCCCTTCACTCAGCCTAGGCAGAAGGGCAGTCTAGCCCGCTTCTGCTGACAAACCCTACTGCCAGACACAATTCATTTTCTTTTTTTGCCTTTTATTTCTTCGTCTCTGATTTCTTCTTTCACCGGCTCTGTTGTGCATGGCTTGTTTGTGTAATGGTGTGCCTTTCCAGGGCCCAGTAGGGCACACATTTCACACAAAAACCCTGCCTGTTCCCATCTGCAGTGGACCTGCTTTTCTCTCACTGGCAGTTTTAAGTCTTCTCTGTCTCTTTAAATGTCCTGTCTGTTTGCTGTGTATGTGAATGTAAGCTAGCTCTGTATAGGCAACTTAATTTCAACTGTGCTAAGTCTCAAATATTTAATATGTCTAAAACTTATGTTTTCACAAACTCAAGGATTCTTATAAGTTCCAGGGAGCTGAGTTGGACCCACCCAAACAGGTCTGAGAGGCCCCAGAGAGTTCCATATATCCTGGACTGTCATGAAACAACCAGCTACCTCAGGACATGGCCGTACGCCAGCTTTTTCTTCTCCCCCCGACAAAGATGGTCATCTCCCCAGGTCAGCAGGAAGTAGTCTTGAGAACTGGATGCTCTTATTCCCTGTCCTGCCACACCTAACTCATTATTTATTAATAATAAATAAAGGTGGGAAGGTAAGGGTTCAAGCATTACGCTGTGCTGCCCCATCTCCTGGCACTGAATTCAGATTGTCTGCCTTAGCAAGTACCGCTACCTGCTGAGCCATCTTGCCTGTTTTTGTTCTTTTAGTTTGTTGTTTGTTTTTTGAGACAGCTTTTGGAACCTGTCCTAGAACTCACTCTGGAGACCAGGCTGGCCTCGAACTCACAGAGATCCGCCTGCCTCTGCCTCCCGAGTGCTGGGATTAAAGGCATGTGCCACCAATGCCCTGCAGCCCTGCCGGTTTTCCAGGCAGCTACTCAACCCCAAGCTAACCTGTATTCTGGGCCATCCTTACCTTCCATCTAAGTTCCCTTTCTCAATTCTGTGACCAAATCCCTGCCAGAATCAAAGGAAGAAGGATTTGTTGCTTGTTTTGTTTTGTTTTGTTTTGTTGAGACAGGCTTTCTCTGTATAGCTTTGGAGCCTTTCCTAGAACACCAATGTCTTTTTCTTTTTTATTAATTTTTTTTTCATTTTACATTCCAACCAAAGTTCTCTCAACTATCCCTCCTCCTGCCCTCCTCACCCCCCTCTCCAGCCCACCTCCATCTACTCCTCCCAACAGCTAAGAGCTCCCAGGGGGAGTCCACAAAGTCTGGCACATTAAGTTGGGGTAGGACCATGTGGTCACTGGCCCCATGTGTGTTGGCAGAACATCACTGTAGAATATGCAGTCATGAAGCACTCATCTCAGGAGAGGCAGCAAGGGGCCAGGCCGGACTGCCACCCCACCCTACCCCCAGGACATGCTCGAAGTGACCACTTTCTTGAACTGGACTCTACCTCATTTCCCCCACAATGCATAGTGGTAGGAGTCCATCCGAGGATTAATCCATCCATGGGTCAGATCCCTGCATCTAACTGGCTCCTGAAACATCCTCACAAGCACTCCAGTCTTCATCACCACAGTCTTTGATTCCCAGACCATTGTGTTACTATCCTTTACCCTTGATGACCCTGTTCCCTGCCACCTCCTGTCCAGGGACAGCCCTGGGAAGTGTGCCCCCACCTCCAACCCAGACAGGATTTCTCTGTGTAGCTTTGACTGTCCTGGAACTTGCTCTGTAGACCAGGCTGGCCTCAAACTCAAATTCACCTGCTTTTGCTTCCCGAGTGCTGGGACTAAGACATGTGTCATCACCACTGGGCAAGGGAAGTCCTCTTGGTGTCTTCTATCTCAGCCAGAACTGAGGTGCACAATGGCACCACGTGTGTGTGTGACCTTTGGTTTGTTTATTTGAGACAAGGTCTCAATACATAGCCCTCACTACGTAAGCTGGGCCCTCAAGTGAAAGCTTCATCACTGTGTCTGTTTAACACATTGCTGAGTTCTCACTATCTAGAATGATCCTAGTGCACGGTATACGCTCAGAAATAGTTGGTGAGTGATGGGTCTGCTCAAAGAAGAAAGGCTTTGCTGACCCTCTGAATGACTCAGGTGCTATGTGGGATTCCAGGATCCCACAAGGCGGCAGGAGAGAATTAACTTCTGAGCATTGTTCTCTGACCTCCATGTACAGGTGGTGGCACACCTGTACACACACAACCACATGCCAAATTTAAAGGCGAAAGGCTTTGCTGTGTTTGTTAAGACCTACATGCATTCTTTTTTTGTTTTGCTTTGTTTTTTGAGACAGGGTCTCTCTGTGTAGCCTTGGCTGTCCTGAACTAGCTCTTGCAGAACAGGCTGATCTCGAACTCACAGAGATCCACCTGTCTCTGCCTCCCAAGTGCTGGGATTAAAGGTGTGCACCGCTACGGCTCAGCACCTACATGCATTCTTATCCTCACTAATGGTGCTGTTTTCCGCCCAGCCCCAAGAGTGTACCTCTGGTGCTGGCCTGCTCTGATGAATGCAGGGAGTGGGTGCACACCAGGGGATCCTTTCAAAACCACCTGCC